AAAATGCAGGGATGTGGGGAGTGTGTCTGTGGTGACTTTTACTTGTAAATGACACCCAGTGGGATAGCCTATTACACCCTGGGGAAAAAGAGGCACAGAAACCAAGAAAGGTAACAAATCTGAATCAAAACAATTATAATTTGGCAAGTTAAAAGAGTTTTCGGGAAAAAAAAATGGATTCACAATTGTGTAACACTCAAATACTGGGCACAATGACAGCACACACCTGTAATCCTAGCTACTCAGGGGGCTGAGGCAGGTGGATTACAAGCTTGAGGACAGGTGACAGTCTCAACATAGAAAGTATAAAGGGTTGGGAATGTAGCTCAGAGGAAGAGGAGCCCTGGGTTCAATCCCCCGCACCACAGGCCCCACCGGCCCCACCCCCAGGCATGCTGAGCTAGCCACAGAGACCAGGAGTGGTGGCGCATGCCTATAATCCCAGCACTGGGGAGGCTGAAAACAGGGAGATCACTATAGGGCTGAGCTGCATCATGAGACCCTGTACCAAATGTATAAAAATAAAAAAATAAAAAAAATTTAACAATGAAAGAAGTTGGGCCAGCCAGATAGCTCAGGGGATTAAAGCGTCTGCGTAGGCAGACGCAGGGACCAGGGTTCAATCCCCAGCCTGTGGTGCTGGCCCCGCCCCCCAGGGCAGCTGAGACATCAACTGAGACTGGGCATGGTGGCACAGACCTGTAATCCCAGCGCTTGGGGGCTAAACACAGGAGGATCACTACAAATCCCATTTGTGTAGTGAGACCTTGTATTATATACATTTAAAAAAAAAAAAAAAAGAAGAGGAAGTTGAAAGGAAGAAATGGGCAGCCAAATAAGCCTGGCAAAGGTAACCGTAGCAATACCTGAAAGGGACAAGAAAGCAAGTATGTGGGCAGGACACAGATCCAACAGTGGGAACGTCCACCTCGGCCAGAATTGTACTTTTAAAGTGACTGTTCACTTACTCAATTGATGGCTGAGGTTTGGAGACTATTTTTAAGTATACAAAAGTTTTGGTCACAGTAGAATTCAATCCGTAATTTTTTTTTTTTTTTGTCAATCTAATATACTTTCCTTCCAGTTATGTGCGGAGACACTGACAAAGCATATTCTCCCAAGAACTTAAATCTATAATGAGTAATGAGTAAAACTACAATACAACACCCTTTAGAGCAGAAAGAGAAAGGCAAATGCCGCTGACTCTACTAAAATAGTCCAGCTTCATGCAACTCCAGGGCACCAAGCAGCAGCTGAGCCGGTACTTACTGATACAAAAGTGAAACACAGCCCAGCTCCTCTCGGTGCCAGCGGCTCTGTGTCAAGTCGGGGCTTTGCCAGCATCACTGACATGAGGGCTGGCAGAGCAGACTGCTCCTCTGCTGCCTCCTTCGCAGTACTGCCATCTAAGCCATAGAGGGGCTGCTCTACTCGCCGCTGGAAAACAGCAAAGAAAACACATGACTTACATGAGAAAGATAATCTGATATTACCAAAACATGCAATAGGTTAAAACAGAGACAACATAAAGTGAATGTTAAGAAACTTCTTTTTCTCTGAAAACAATTAAAGGGAGCATTATTACTGAATTATTACCCATCTAGAAATCTGAGTTAATGGTTTACTTACAACATCTTAATGATTCTATATTTGCCTAACTCTGCATTTGCAGATTAATTTGTAGAGTTCAATGAATCAACTTCAAAATATTCTCAGTCCTACACAGGAAATCCCATTTCCATGCTGTCGGTAAATGAAGAAGTAAGACAACTTTGTTACAGGGGCACACACCTGTAATCACAGCAATGTGGGGCGTTGAGAAAGGAGGATCACAAGATCCAGGCCACCCAGGCAACTTAGGGACTTGGCAAGATCCTGTCTCAAAATAAAAAAAACGAAAAAGGGCTGGGGATGTAGCTCAGTGCAATGGCTCTGGGTTCAATTCCCAATAACATCAAAAAACAAAGAGACAACTGTCTCATTACTTGATCTACGCACAGAGCTTATTTCACTCGCTATTTTCACTATCCTATACCTTACATGCAAAAAAAACTAAAATAAAAATAAATGCAAGCAAAACAAACATGCAATACTAAAAGAGTAATATACCACAATTATATACGGTTTATTCTAGAAATGGAAAAGTGGTTAAACATCAGCAAATCTAAAAACAGAATTTATTTTCAAAGTCAATACAAAATATAATTAATGATATTACACTAGATTCCTCATGGAAGTTGTAAACTAGACAAGGGTAACATACATTCGACAGTGTTCAGCCAATGTGGTGAGGTACAACATGAGATATAAATGTTAGAGCAAATTATAAAGTGTTTTGGATGATATAAACATTCACGGAAGAAACGAAACAAAACAACTGAAAAGCTACTGCAACAAGTAAGAAAGTTCAAGCCAGGTGTGGTGCACGCCTATCATCCCGGCACTCTGGAGGCTGAGTCAGGAGGATGGTTTTGAGTTCCAGACCAACCTGGACTGCAAAATGAGCTCAAGCTCAGCCTGACCTGCACAGTGAGACCCTGTCTCAAGAAAAAAAAAAAAAAAAAAACACGTAGTAAGCCAGCCAAATACAATAATTACAATCTGCTACAGAATGTAATGACAGAAAAGACTCAAAAGAGAAAAAAAGCAAAATACTAAATAAACCTATGAAATAGAATTCATAGGAAGAAAACTATACAAGTTCACAAGTAAAAGATTATTCAGAGCTGAGGAGATTGCTCAGTTAATAAGCGCTTGCCTGGCAAGCGCAAGGGCCTGAGCGCAATCCCTGATTCCCCCCCCCCGCCCCCCAAAAAAGGTGATGCTATGTTCCTGGATCCAAATTACAGATATCAAATTTCTCTGAAGGGGCCGCCAGATAGCTCAGTGGATTAAAGCTCCTGCTTAGCAGACACAGGGGCTGGGGTCTGGTCCCCAGCCTGCCTGTGCTGGCCTGCTTTGGGCATGGCGGCACATGCCTGTAATCCCAGTGCTTGAGAGGCTGAAAAACAGGAAGAATCACTCCAAGTCCATTCTGTGTAGTGAGACCCTTTACTAATTACATTAAAAAAGAAAAAAATTCTCAGAAGATCAATGTTTGGGATTTTTGTTTATTTTACTCTTGGCCCTTGTAAGGAACTTTCTGGAAGAATAGTAGCTGTCTGTTTTCTCTCTCTCTGGGGGAGTTGCACTGGCCAAACGTCACAAATTTACTTTGAGGTTCATTTGGAAACATGATGAAAATTAGCCAGATATTTTTGATAAAGACTATCAAAGTGGCAGGCTCCATTCCCGGTGTGCCATGCTGGCCCCGCTCCCAGGGCACGCTGAGCCCACAGTCGAGACTGTGTGGTAGCGCACACCTACAATTCCAGCACTTGCGAGGCTGAAAACAGGAAGACTGAATATACCAAGGTGGGGCTGGGGAGCTAGCTCAGTGGCTTAAGCACTTGCCTGGCAAGCATAAGGTCCAGAGTTCGAACCCTGGTACCAGGAAGAAGAAAAAAAAAAAAAAAAATATCAAGGAAATTTAACTAGATTTTTTT